AATGTGATTTATCAATAGTTTTAATGATGGGAGTTAAGTCACTACGCGGCACGGGCGCAAACTCTTTATCACAAATGTATTTATGTTGTTCTAACAAGGGAATATGAATTAAGACATTGTTTATGCTTAATGAAATAGTTTTTTCCTGTATTTGCATTAGAAGGTATTTATAGATAAAATTATTGCAAAGAAGGAAATCTCCATGCATATACGGAAAACATAAAATTTTTGGTATAATGAATTTGCTATCATTTAACCAAATAGCTATATTTTTAGCCTTGAATTGTATGGAAGTATGGTTGCCATCTATTCCAGTAACCAAAATTAGATGTTTCATTAATGTCTATTTTCCCTTTGGTATGGCATTCCATTTACATGAGCTAACTGTAGCTCCTGTGTCTATGAGAACACTGAGGCTATAGGGTTTGTGACCTGCAAAATTAAATGTTCCCAATACATATGTATATCTTGTTTTTCCTTGGCTAGGAGAAAAAATAATATCATCATTTTTTGTTTGAAAATGATACATATATGCGGACTTAATATGTTCAAGTTTTCTTGTTCCTGAAAAAATAGGAATCTGAACATTGTTTGAAGTAATAGATTCTTGATTAGAATTATTACTTGATTCTCCAATGCTTAACTTTGAAAATGATTTGTTAGAAAAATCTTTTTCAAATACAGAAGTTGATTTTTTAATTTTTGGAACTGTATTTTCAATATATAAATTTTTTCCTGATGCCTGCATTTGTAATTGTGCAGGTTTTTTTGTTTTAGAAGATTCTCCTTATCCCACTAGGTCTTGGATTAACCATTGTCGAGGGACTTTTAAATCGCTCCAATTCATTAGACGAGGTTGTATTACCGTATCAAATGGTCTTGGTTCAAAGATCACAACGATTTTATTATCGTTTGATCTTATTTTTGTTTCAGGAAATTTGGTTTATTCATGAATTGTTTTCCAACGAATAGCCAAATCATGAGAATTTGATTTCATTCTTAATCCTTGTGTTTTAATTCTTATTCTGACTGTATCTTCAAGATTAGGATCATTTATGGAAATAAAGAAATTTGGTCTAACATTAAACCAAACTACTCCATTAGCCAAATTAGACTGAATTCCTCCAATGATTGCTTTCATTGGGTCAGAAAATCTTTTGTCAAAAATTACTGCCAAAATAGGAGTATCTATCCCTTGGCGAAATAAGGCTGTTATAGTTATTTGAATTAATCCAATATGAATATATTGAATTTCAGGATATTTCTTTTTCCATCTTGCAACATTTTTCTTATAAAAAAAAAGAATATCAATATTTTCTTTTTCTGACCATTTTGCTTGAGTGTTACCACTGTATTGTTCAAACACTCTTGCTGAAAAGAAGTTAAATTTTGAAAGTTTGTAAATTTCTAGAACAACAACTTCTTGCATTTTTTCAAATTTTGCTAATTCTTCGTCGGTAAAAGTTTTTTCTTCCCCGATTACATCTCAAAGTCGAATTGCCTGCAATTCTTCTTGAGATATACTATTTGCTTCTTGAGATATTTCTTGACTATTATTAGTCATCATGAAGATTAGTTCTTCATCTGAACTTTCTTCATCACTAGAAATTTCATATAAGATTTCTTCTTCATCAGAAATTTCTTCTCCATATATTATTTCAAAATCTTGTTCTTCAAGGACTTTGATCATTTTCTTTGCACTTTTTCTCCTTTTTGGGCATTCGGATGCATAGTGACCTTCTTCGTTACAAATGTAACATTTACAAGTTTTCTTTTTTGAAACGCTTGTTGGTTTCTTTTTTCTAATATATTTTTTCTTTTTTGAAAAAATTTTGTTCTTTTTCCAAGGTTTCCATTTATATTTTCTACGTTTTTTGAAAAATCCTTTTCTTTTAGGAAATGTATTACAACTAATTTTCTAATTTTCTTTTAAAATTTTATCACAACATTTTTGACCGTATTGTGAGTTGGAAATTTAATTTTTTATTTGTTTTTTCGTCTTTGTTTCTAGACACCGATCTGTTATCAGTCTTAGAACATAATTTATGCGAAAACCAAGATTATCATATTCTTCCTTCCCCATTTTTTTGAGAAAATCAGGATATGTTTTAATACATAACTCATCCCATGGATTAGGGAGTTTATGAAAAAATTGATCTAAGCAGGGTTGATTTGCCGGTGGATCAATAAGATAATAATATTTCTTAAAAGTTTAAACATAATCTTCAAAAAGATAAATATTACATAATTCTAATTTAGTCAAAATATAATTTGCATCTGCTTGCAAATTAGTATCTCCTGCAAAAGCGGTAATGTGAGTCTTAGTGAAGAAGTCCGCAAATTGCAAAGCTGAAGAGACAAAGGAAGCGAGATAGAGTCAAACTGCAGATGCTGTCGGACAAAGTGACAATCAATTTCAATGTGTTTTGTCCATTCATGGAAGACAGTATTGTGGGTAATCTGAATAGCACTGCAGTTGTCACAATAGAGAGAGGTCAGAGAAGATTGAGGGACACCCAAATCAGATAAGAGACAACGAAACCAAACAATCTCAGCACTGTTTTAAACATATTAAAACACTGTTTTAAACTCCCCCTTGTAGCAACAACAAGAATTATCAAATAAAGAGTTCAGTTGAACAAGAAAAACCAAAACCATGCAAATTAGATTAAAAAGGGTAGAACCTTCTTGGCTTTTTCCTTCGCCTTTACTTCAATCATGCAGTACTCCTTTGAGGCCCTTTGATCACCTCGGATAGCTTTTATCCCCCATATCGAGGTGAAACTTGAGTAACTGGTGGTAATTTGAGGGTATTGCCCTCATCTCATGAAGCCGAGGTTTACCGATGATAGCATTGTATGGAGAAGATACATCTACCACCAGAAACTGTCTGTCTTGTTACTGGGTCTACATAAATTGGAATTGTCACCACCCCCATGGGCCGCACTGGCACCTCGTTGAATCCAGACATCAAAATATCGGTTTGCTTCAGGTCCTCCAGCTTCAGTACATTACATTGACCAAGCTGCCCGAATCCACAAGGATCCTATTCACTTCATGATCACCCATGTTTAAGGAGATCACTAGACCATCATTGTGAGGAAGATCTACCCCCTCCAAATCATCATCAGAGAAGGATATCATGGAGTCATAACTTCCCTCACTTCTTGGTCTCTTCCCCAGAATATAGTACACATGCTACCTGTGCGAAGGCATCTGCACTGACACCTTCATGTCCTTCTTGTTCTGATCCACCATTGTACGGATCACATTGACATCTTCGGGGGCAATTACAATACCTCCACCAAGTAAGAATTTATCATCAACCAACCCGCGAATGAATTCCTTGGATAAGAAATAGTGCTGAATAAGTATTTACTAAATTTTGGTCAGAGCATTGACAATGCATCATACCAACGTAAATTCAGATCCATCTTTGACAATCAATCAGATAATCAAAAACTCAAAACCTTCAATAAAGGTGATTTTGGGTAAAGTTTGCCAAAATAGTACTGAATATGTATTTGCTAAATTTTTATGGGCACAAATGTATTTTACATGGTAAAATTTGTTGCTTGTAGAATAAAGTAGCCCAAATGAGTATGAAACTACAAACCTTATCTGTAAGGAATCTGGAAGCATCACAACTCTTCTTAACATCATGGGGAACTTTACGAACAAGATTAACCGTCCGGCGACGCAAACAACCAGTAAATGCCCGGTAACGAGACACACCAACAAGATTAACCTTCTAGAGAGGCACACAAACAAGATTAGCAGATAATCACCTAATTAAGCATACCAGAGCCCACTACAATGTTGTCAATATCTTACAATTCATTATACTCAATCTTCCGATTTGATACTTTTTTAGAGATAAATTAATATTATCATCAATACTATCTTAAATTAAATGCATCTTACGATACATATATGATACATGATGCAATATACAATATGTGATACATAATGCGATACATATGTTCCACAAATACTAGTGTCGGTTTGGTTTGATTTTTAAAAAATTGTTTTTAGATGTGTTTTCATTTATTTGGTATGTCCGTGAACAGCATAAAGTGATTTTGCATAAAGTTTGCCGGAATAGTGCTGATTACGTAATTACTAAATTTTTATGGGCATCAATGTATTTTACGTGGTAAAATTTAGTTGCTGGTAGAAGAAAGTAGCCCAAATGAGAATGAAACTACAAACCTTCTATATAGGGAATCTGGCATAAAAAAATGAGTATGAATATACTCTAGCAAATTTGGTTTCGGATTCTTTGTAGTAAGCCAGTACATTAAGGCAGTGTTTAGTTGGGAAATTTGGAAAGGAATTTGGAAAAGAAAAGGAAAAATTCACTTAGTTTCACACACATTTTCCCTTTCCCTTTCCAAATCCCTCTTCAAATCCTCAAACCAAACACAGCATAACTAAATGATCTCAAAGATTGAGTCTTTATCAGAAAACAAAACAAAAAGGAAGCGCAATTAGCACAATATGGAGCTATCTCCTGAAAGCAACGATGAACAACCATGTTTGAATTACCCTAAATAAATCTGAACTGAATGTCTATAATCCAATCAAAATTACGATAAACCAATCAAAATTACATGGGATATTCAAATTTATTTTGGTTTCATCAAATTAAAATTAAAAGAAAAGAGTTATTTTGGGGAGAAAATTACAATTGAAACCCAAAACAAAGAAAAAAAAGTATTTGGCTAGAGAAAAGAAAAGAAAAGACCATAAATTTGAGGATGTTAATACCGGAGGAATAGGAAACATCGACTTGCAAATTAGAGTCGCCCGACGCCCCATTTAATAGATATCTAACATATCTAACTTGGCAAGATTTTACAGCCAAAAGTTACAAAATTTCTAACACCGTAGGCAAGCCTAGTCATAGACTTTTTGAAAAATCTTCAAAAAAATAAATACAAAGAGACAAAATAATGAAAAAAAAAACTATAATTCTTTTATCTGTGTTACAATTTTTACAATTATACACGCTGATACACATGTCTAAACTAAACCTCCAAAGCCATCCTCCGAAGCTGCAACCCCTCCAGCCAATCAACAGCTTTTAAAACCCCTAAACCCCAAGTTGAACCATATAGTGCTTTTCTTTTCTTTTCTTTTCTTTTCCCAGTAATTTTCATCATTGATGGGGAGTTGAAGCCAAAACCATCAAAGCCCTCTTCTCTGTTTTTCACAATTCTACTGAGAGATCAAGCAGATGATATACTAACGCGGATATGACTCTCTCCTTTTCTCCTTCTGTCAAGAGATATTGTTCGTACGGTGCACGCCAGGTGTTTGATGTTTGTCTTGTGAGGTCGTTTGAAGCTTGTTTTGTCACTTGCGTTTCTGGGTTGAACTTTGAATCAAATCCACATATTGGGTATCACTAAGCCATTCTTTCATTTTTATAAACCTCTCATTCTCTCCTTGTTAATGAATTTTTCTTCATACTGTCTTGTTAGCTAAGTTGAGTTTTCAAATTTTATGGTATCCTTGTTTATATGGATTCTTTTCTATAACTTTTCTTGACCCACATCATGATCATACTGTATGATGGCTATAATCAATGGTCTTTGTAAAACTATAGTCCTCGATTCTTTCTCAAGGTATTATATAAGCAAAGAACACTGCAATACAGTTTTCAAGAGTTTCCTATGTAGCCAATTTCTCCATACAAGAAACTTTTTTAACAACCAAACTAAGCTAACTCAATCCTTTGCCGATAAATCACACATTGATAAAGTCTCTCTTTACCTTCAACGTGCGAAACTCATTGATTCAATTCGACTTGCTCTCCGGTCGAATGCTCCGAGGTCACTAATCCCCCTTTTGAAAGATCCCTCTCTAGATTGCTTTGTAGTCACCAATGCACTTCGATCTGCTCCGTCCCCGGACTCTGCCCTCTCCCTCATTGAAACCTTGAAAACTGTTCCACATTTCACACATAATCAAAATACACTCTATGCGCTGGCCAAAATCCTCGCAAAGTCCCAACAAATTGCAAAACTCAAAACCCTCATTGATGCCATCAATTCTGGAAAATTCCCAAATGTTGCACGAGTCAGTTTCATGGACCGAATGCGGTGGTATGCTGCTGCGGGAGACCTTGACTCAGTTCTTTGTGTTTGGGACGAGTGGAGAGCCTTGCAGAAGCGTCCCTGCACTGAGTCTTACAACATTGTAATGGGCCTTTATGCACATATCAGTAAGAATCTTGAAGCAGTGAAGATTTTCTATATGATGATTGATGAAGGACTGGTTCCTACTTCTAGAACATATACAGTTATGATCGAGCATCTTTTGAAAGCGGGAAAATTAGATTCAGCAAAGCAAATTTTTGGTATATTGCCATTGATGAGGATCAAATGCACTCTGAGGCAGTATTCTCTTTTGGTGGGGGCATTCACCGGTACTGAACAATTCGATGTGGTTATGAGTTTACTAAATGAGATGCGGATTAATGGAGTATTGCCTGGTCGGGCTATGCAATGGTCATTGCAGCGAATGCGGGAGGCGGGATTTCTTGAGGAGACGGATGAGTTTGTTAAAGAAATGTCACCAGATGAAAGAATCAAGAGTGTAGGAGTGCCTATGGATGATGATGATGATGATGATTATGATAATGATTGTGATAAAGCTGACCACACTGATCGTGATGTTGATGTGAATGAAGTTCAGTTAAAACCATGGTTGGACCCAGTTGCTTTGGCAAGTGCCTTGCATTATTGGGGACCTGAAGAGGTATCAGCATTGGAAGATGCGAAATTTGTGTGGACAACTCGGTTGGTCTACAAGATGATCAGAAATTTCAATTCAGCCAAAACAGCATGGCACTTTTTCTCTTGGGTTGCCAATCAGCCAGGTTTCACTCATGATGTTTACACAACATCAAGGATGGTTGCCAAGTTAGCACGCCATGGATGTGTCGATTTAGTTGATCAACTCATGTCTAAGTTAAAGAGGGAACAAATTGTATTGTCATTTAGCACAATTAGATTGATTATTGACTCTTATGGGATTTTGGGTAATGGCCATGCTGCTCTAAATGTCTTTCGTGATGTCAAAATACCATGTGACCCCATATCAAAAAATAGTCTCTCGCTTTTATATTCATCTTTATTGCGGGCATTGGCCAAGTGTAAAATGAATTCTGATGTCTTAAATGTACTTGATGAGATGATTTTGGCTGGTATTCTACCAGATATCCAAACATTCTCTGGGTTGATGCATCATTTTGCACTTCAGGGAGATCTTAAAACGGTGCAGAGACTCTTTGGCATGGTCAGGCAGAGTGGTGTAGAGCCTGATGCTTATATGTTTAAGGTACTTATTCGTGCTTATTGCAAGTGTGAAAGAGCTGTTCTTGCATTGAGGGTTTTTGAAGATATGATGAACTCCAATTTGATGCCCGATGCTGCCACAAAACAATTGCTCGTGAAGAGTCTTTGGAAGGAAGGTAAGCTCAGAGAGGCAGCTTCTGTAGAAGAGAGAAGTGAGGAGATAAATTATGTTCTTCCACTAGCTTTGCGTGGTCATTTGTATACTGTGAGCTCTGCAGATCTCACAAGAGTTTGCAACATTTATTCAAACAGCTTTACAACAACCAATTGTTAGAATATTAAATGGATTTCTATAGCGGAACTATAAGTCTATAACGAGCTGAAATGCTGATATTTTTATATTTATTGCAAGTTGAGTTTGTCCTGTTTTCTTCATGAATCTCTAATTATGAATGGAAATTTTTAGTTTATAATTCTATCTTTGGGCAAGCAATCATTTTGTACTTTTTATTTCTGCTTTTTAAGTTTGTACTGCTCGTTAATCAAATTCCTGCCTAAACTCTGATCTGATCCCCAACATTGTGAACATGCCACCAAAACTAGTGCAAAGATGTTTTGCACTGTTAAGACATACACAAAGATGAGATCAACAGGTTTTAGGTATGGTTGCAGCATTACTAATTTTTCGTTGATTTATGTCCTTGTCAAGTCCTTTTCTACCCCCTGTTGTTTGAAATTCTTTAAAAATCTGTGCTGATCTCTCTCTCTCTCTCTGTCTCTGATGTGAGCCTTAAGGGCAGAGAGTGTGCCTCATATCATCATATGATTGGCTTGCAGGTTGTCCGAATTTTAAGTTCTAACCCTTTTAATTTGGACTTTTCATCATGAACAACAGAAAAAAGAAAAAGCCGGAGCTTGGAATCCATAGTTGTCTGTTTCCGGCTAATATTGACACGGGATTAAAAACAATGTGATCGAATGTTCCCATCAAGCCAACCAGTGGCAGCTCACATATTCTTCTCCCTGACAATCATTTATCAGGTCTGCCATGAGAGATAATCATGATCTGAGGCTACAACAGACAAGCCAAACCAAACTAAGCTTTGTGCCCCAATCAGGTAGGATCGACTGCATGAATCATTTTTCGTCATTCCACTTCAAAAATGGCTATATATTCAATTAAATAAAATAAATCCATGTCATTTTTTTACTATTGCATCTTATGTCAGTTTTCATATGTGATTTGATGGGAATTTTTACTTGTTGACTGGTAGGCTATTTAACACACAACCCTCCTCCTTATCCGAGCTTGGAACTAGCTTCTGCAACAGACAAATAATAGAAAAAAAAAAAGAAAGAACTTTCTTAATCGTGGTAGAGCCATTTGGCTTGGTTGCCTCATCTGTCAGCTTGCTGACCCTGTATACTATATAGAATTCTAAAGGGCATACAACTAGCCGGCCTAACTGGGGTTCTTGTATTAAACTAACCCGATCTTTACGCAACTAGCATAAAAGAATTATAGTATAGAATATGAGAAAGAAATGTTTATAAGAGTCTTCACTCTCATCATTGCATAAATATATTGGTAATCCTTGAGGTAATCTATATGATATATTTAAAAGATCATTTGACATATCTATCAGGGAGAAGAAAACAAAGAGAATCATACAAATCAAAGCTAGGGACAAAGCCTCTCAGATGATTATTTAAATCAGAATATATTTTATTGAGATTGAAAGCGGCACAACAAAAAACGATGCTGTTTTGATCTTTTCTATCCACCTTAACTAGGATTCTCAAATCTACTTTCTTCATAGTTACCTAGAGCTAACAATCTAAAAGCTTGCGGAAATGGCAATCTCTCTCTCCTTGCAAACCATATTTTGTATCTTTGTATTCCTTTCTTCTTCTCATGTTTGCAGGGCTCAATCGCCTGCGAGTGGGGACACAGACTTCTCTTGTGTCCCAGACTCCCCTGTTTCCTGTGAAACATACGTCACATACCGTGCCAGGGCACCTGAGTATTTGAATCTGCAAAATATAGCAAATCTGTTTGGTGTAAATCATTTGACAATTGCAAAAGCCAGTAAGCTTGTCTCTGGGGATGCACAATTGATTCCGGACCAACTCTTGTTGATACCGATCACCTGTACCTGCAACGGAACATACTTCTTCTCCAATGTCACCTACAAGATCAAGGGAGGTGAGAGCTTTTATGTAGTTTCGATCACCACTTTCGAAAATCTCACTAATTATCATGTAGTGGAGGATCTGAATCCGACAATAAATCCAGCCAACTTGACGATTGGTGAGGAAGTGGTCTTCCCTTTGCTCTGTAAGTGCCCGACAAAGGCCCAGTCGGAAAAGAGAATGAAATATCTCTTAACTTACGTATGGCAACCAGACGATGATGTCTTAACTGTAACTGCAACGTTTAACGCGTTGCCATTTGAAATTGCTGCTGAAAATAACTACCGAAACTTCACCGCTGCTGTGTGTCTTCCTGTGTTGATACCCATGTCACAACTTCCGGATCTTTCTCAATCTCATCCCTCCCATGCTCAAAGCCATTCCACCAAACATAGGCGGACCGTTGTCATCGTTTTATGCGCAAGTGGGGTTCTCTTGCTTTTCCTTCTGGCAAGCTTGGTGGTCTATCTTCATCGTTCATTTCAGAAAAAGAAGATTTTGATTCGCAATGATTCTTCGTTGGAGACTGCTGATCTCATCAAGATGAAGAAAGCATCGAAAGAGGACTTCTTCGATCCTAAGACCATTCAGGATAAGCTACTTCCTGGGGTTTCGGGTTATCTAGGAAAGCCGATCATGTATGACAGGAAGGTGATCATGGAGGCAACTATGAACCTCAATGAACGGTATAGAATTGGAGGATCAGTGTACAGGGCCACGATCAATGGCCAGGTCTTTGCTGTGAAGAAAACAAACAAAGCCACAGAGGAATTGAAAATATTACAGAAAGTAAATCATGCGAATCTTGTGAAGTTAATGGGCGTGTCATCGGACAAGGAAGGGAATTGTTTCTTGGTTTATGAATATGCTGAAAATGGATCACTAGACAAGTGGTTGTACCCAAAATCTTTGTCATCGTCTTCAGGCTCTTTTGCATTCCTTACTTGGACTCAGAGGTTAAACATAGCTCTAGACGTAGCCAATGGACTTCAATACATGCATGAACTCACTGAACCAAGTATGGTTCATAAGGCTATCAGAACAAGTAACATACTTCTCAACTCTAGGTTCAAGGCCAAGATCTCGAATTTCTCCACAGCTACACCTGCAACGAGCTCTATCATGTCCAAAATCGATGTTTTTGCTTTCGGGGTTATTCTGTTGGAGTTGCTTTCAGGAAAGAAAGCGGTAGAAACAAAAGAGAACGGCGAGATTGTGATGTTGTGGATGGAAATGAGGGCGATTTTGGAAGATGAAGGGAGAAGAGAAGAGAAGTTAAGGTGGTGGATGGATCCAAATTTGGAGAGCTTTTACCCCGTTGATGGGGCTCTGAGCGTGGCAGCTCTAGCAAGGGCTTGCACATCAGAGAAGTACACGGCACGGCCAAGAATGGTGGAAATTGTTTTCAATCTCTCCGTTCTTGCTCAATCATCCCCGGAGATGTATGAAAGGTCTTCGACATCAGGGACATCAGGGTTGGATGGAGAGGAAGTCTCTCAAATTGTCAGCCCTGTCATGGGTCGTTGATCTAGCGATATCATGTAACGCATTAGATTAGTCCTTTTGATTTTCTGTTCTTTATGTTTCATGCGTACAAATTTCTTGCAACATCAAATGTAAAGCCTTGTGCAAAAACTTGCTTCAAATTTTATGATACAAGTTTATTCTCCCATACGTGCTGAATTTGTATATGACAGCAAAAAAATCTGAAGTTTATCTAAACATCTAATGAATCATGACAAGAAAGTAAAAGGTGACAAACCCAAATTTAAAAAAAAGAAAAAGAAAAGAACATTACAGGAAAAGCTCTAGCAGAAACTGTTGTACCCTTGCGTGCTATTTGAGAATTCCCAATTCAGTGAAGTGGTCATAATTCTTGACAGAGACTGCACAATCTCGTCCATGTCCGGGCGGGCAAATGGATCTTTTTTTATGCAACTATCAACCAACCCGGCAACAAAAACAGCAAGTTCTGCAGGATAATTTCCCTTCAGAGAAGGGTCCACGAACTCGCTCAATTTCTCCTTCCCATTTTCCTCGTCAAGAACTGGAATTAAGACCTCTGACAATTCAATTTTAACCGCTTCATATAACAAACTGACCTCTTTCCCGGTAAGTATCTCCAGCATGAGAACCCCAAATGCGTAGACATCGAGCTTTGTGGATACGAAACCGTTCTCCAAATACTCCGGAGCCATGTAACCTTTTGTCCCGACGATGTGCCTTGTCAAGGCAAATTCACCCTCCTGCCCATCTGCTGATCTTGCTAGCCCGAAATTCGAAATCTTAGCCCTGAAATCACTGTCAAGAAGGACATGACTGGTCTTCAAATCCTTGTGGACATAAGGGGGAGAGGTATAGTTGTGGATATAGTTAAGCCCTGTGGCCACATCCAAAGCAATCTGAATTCTCTGTACCCAATTCAGAAACTTATGATCACTGTTGTTTTCATAAATCCAATCACTCAAAGGTCCATTAACAGCATATTCATAAACTAGGTACCAATTCCCTTCATTGAAACAAACACCCGATAGGCGGATAAGATTGAAGTGGCTGATCGTGTTTAGCGTGTCGATTTCCTTTGACACGTCTCCATTTATTTTCTTGATGGCTGCAGAATCACCGTTGATTGTGCCACGATAAACAGACCCCTTAATCCAACAACCGGGGCTGAAATTTTCCGTCGCGGATTGAAGTTCTTTAAAAGTGTACACTTTGAGGGATTGAGCTATGACCGATATACTTTCAAGGAAATCCTCGGATTCTTCTTCCAATTTTTTCCCATCTGGTTTATCAATTGCTTCAATGCTCTCAGAGGTGATAATTGAATCAGTTTTCTTCTTACTTTTGCGAAAGAACACAAAGAAAACAATGACCCCAACGGCCAAAACAATACCACCACCTCCGAGAACTCCAGCGAGAACATAAACCAATGTTTTATTGGACCCGTTATTTGATGAAGGCGGTGGTGGAGGAGATACTGGTGGAGGCGGTGGTGGCGGTGGTGGTGCTATGGTTTGAGAAATTGATGGTGGGTTTTGCAGAGGGATTAAAAGGGTAGTAAAGGGATAGATATTGGAGTTTTGTTCAGATAGGTCATTGGCTGCAAGAGTGCTCCCAGTATCTACCCCAAACATTAAACTTATCAGAGAGACATTCTGAGTCCAAGTGACTAAATAACTCAACAGATAATTCACACCAACATCACTTTGATTCTTTGTAGGACAAGCACACCTCAATGGAACAGTAATTCTATCACCGAAATTCAAATTAGTAGCTGCGAGATTACTGTTCTGAGCTTGAAGAGCTTGACATGTTGAGAGGCCTTGAAATGTGTTGTTTGCAATTACCAAATAAGTGTTTTCATTTTGAGTAACAATAAAAGATGTGTTCGTTTGGTAGTAGTTACCTGAGCAAGAACAGGTTACAGGAACAAGAACAACCTGATCTGTTTCGAATGTTGCGTTGTCAGAAACTGAATTCAGCTGAGAAAGTTGTGAAGGGTCCGAATTCAATAGGTTGGAGATGGATGAGACAGTGTTGTATGGGGATTGAGATCTGAATGTGAGGTAGGATTGGCAAGTCTTGTTGAGGCCATTGCAGGTGTACCCAAGAACAGAAGTTGAATTGTCTGTGCTGTCACAAAGTGTTGTGGCCTTCCCAATATAGGGTTGTTGGGCATGAATCAAAGAAGGGATAGAGATGATCAGAAAGATTGATGAGAAGAGAGAGGTGAGTAGTAGAGGCAAGAGATTCATTTTTGGTTCATTGAGAAAGAGCTCAAGAGGGGTGGTTATGGCTGTGGGGGATGATATAATTCATTGGGAAGATTGAAAGTACTTTCTGTGGAGACCAATTCCAAGAAGATGACTAATGAAGCTTTCTGGAACAGCTTTGAAATGGAGATTGATTGGTTGGAGATCTGTATTAGAGAAATTTATCTGTTTTGGTCAACTAACTCCATTCAAAGTTCAACTTGTAACAAAGAATTGTTGTTAGACACGGCACACCACAAGGCTATATTATATTATTACAATTCTAAAGTAGTTTTCAAAGTCCAAACCAAAGCAAGAACATGAAAAGAGGCGTTGCCTTTTGACTTAAAAGACAACAACTTTCACTATGAAACCTTTGATTCGAATACCGCAGCCATAATAACTTGAATTAATTTTTTTTTTTCAATTCACATAATTAATCCTCCAAAAATATTAAAATATTCTTATGTTTTTTGCAATTTCAAACTCTAACCTTAATCCATCATTCACCACCGCCACCATCAACTGTCGCAACCGCCGCCATCACCACCACCCCACTCCATCTCCTAACCGTGTCAATCTTCCCCAACCCCATCGTCCCTCAATTCCATTCGCCACCCCTCATTGCAAATTTGCACTCTATCCCTACCCTAGCAACCCCTTCCGCTGCCACACCTAGCCCCCTCTCCTCTTCCTTCATCTTCTACTTTTGTACTGAATGTACACGCTTACGATGAAATAGAAACTGAACTTTTAAGAGTAAGTCACAATTAACTTATTGCATAAGGTCACATGTTCAAAAATTTAGGCCTCCGTCCATAAATATTTCTTGCCATTATATTTTATCAATTTATATTGCATCCCTATGTATTGTTATATATTATTTTTCTCTTGTTATATTTTATGATTGTCTTATAACATCCTAAACTTTTATATTTAATAGCACCATCATGAACTTGAAATTCGTTTTCTTTTGTCATTTTCTTGAAATTCACCCATTAAACTACTCACACTAGAGAGCATTTTACTTCGGCAGTTCTTGAAGTTCTTTTTGGGAGTTTTGTTATTATTATCCGATGAATTCAGTTAGTCGACGAACCTACTCTGACCAACCTGATTCCCCATTTTTTTAGTTGGGCCCTTATTCGGTTCGAAACAAGGATTTTTTAGAGTTTTTTGTTTTTAAAGTTTTCTAGAGTGATGCATTATGTGGTTGAAATTTAATGACAAGTCACATCAATTTTTCAACATTAAATCTCAACTACACAATACACCACTTTAGAAAACTTTAAGAAAAAAACACTCTAAAATCCTTGGTGATTCGGTTCAGCCTCCTGCATTGCGTGGGCCTAGTGCGACTGGACTTTTCCTCCCACAAAACAAAGCAGACAAATAAAGCACCACAACAACAGCAACTTCAACATCTTAATACTGTGAAAAAAATGAATATGTTTAAGAATGATTTTTTTGGTTGAATAGATAGTTAGGAGAAGAAGAGTTCAAAAAAAAAAAAAAAAAAAAAAAAAAAAAAAATTTGCTTCAAAAAAGAGTTAGGAGTAGGGGTGTGTGCGATGTGGTTTAAGTAATTTGAGAGTAAAATTATAAACCGAATGGTGGGTTAGTGGATTAGCGGATTGACAAATTGCGGTTGGACAGTTTTTGACGGATCAGCGAATTGAAGAATATTCTAACTAATTATCATACATTTACATAATATATAACACTAATTTGTATAATATTTTTTAAATATATAATACAAAGTAATTTTACATAATATGTTTCATATATATAATCACTAATTTGTAATAAATTATTTTAAATCTCTCACACACTCATTTTTACATTGATATTTCATTAGAAGTTAAAAAATATATATGCATTAACTATAGTGGAGCGGAGTGGAGTGGTTTGGTTGGTGGGTTATAAATTTTAAAGTTTAAACCACGCTTAGCCGTTAGAGCAGTGCGAATTAATGCTTTTTAGCGGATTGGGTGGTATTTTGCACAACCCTAATTAGGAGAAGAAAAAATAATTGATTAATATGTAGAATGTGATCCTTCGCTATTGGGCTTAAATTTTTGAACTTTTTTTTTTCTTTTTTTGTGACTAGCCCTTAATTTTTATGTATTTTTTGATGGGCCAATAAAGAAATTGTTAGCTCCCCTGGCCCAATATTGGTAACAGCCCACGATGAGCTATCATCAGGAAACCCATAGGGCTCTCTTGACGTCCTCTTTTCTATTTTTAGTTTTCATGTTCTGCTCACTAGACCAATCCTTTGAATGGACCTTTAGAATTTGGTTTTTGATTTGTTTTTTAAAAATTAATAGCTACTATGACAAAAATAAACACCAAAAAATATGACATGAAGTAAAATTCAATTTACAATAAGAAAAAATATCACCCAATCTAAAAAAAACGAAAAAAAAAAGAAGAAGAAGAAACAAACTCTAAAATTATAGTACTAATTAAAAATTAAACTAACTACAATAAAGTATCAGTTAAATATTAATCCTCTTACATTTGTAGATATAAAATTATTAATTAAACTTGAATAATTTGTTAGGACACTTAGTTAGGATTGTAAACTTATATTTGTTGAATTGGTCCTTATTTTTGGACATACTAATCTATAAGAACTAAAATCATTTGAATCCTCAATTTTTTTTAATATTTCACTAAAATTTAGGAGCCCAAAGACTATAATCTTGTTGGCCTTGCCTTCAGACTGGCCTTCGATAATTAATAGTTATTGTTACACTAATTAAATTTTGAATACTATTTACTATGTTAGCAACGTATTTTTTATTAGGGCAATAATTGGTTAGATGTGATATCTTAAAAAATGAGAGACTGGTTTGATGTAAATATAATTATTGTAATGATTAATGAAAAATTTTATTAATTTTATTTATGTACCCATTCAAACTTTCATTTACTTATTACATTTCCCTTATCATCAAAAACAACATCGGCTCCTTTTCTGTATTAAAAAAAAATTATGAAAAGAATTTTCGTTTAAAATTTGTCATCAGAATGATATGCTAATGATATTTTTAAATTAATAAGTCATTTTTATGAGTTATTATTATTATTATTTAAAATGAATAAATATAAAGTTAAAACATCATTCTATATAGATTTTAGGACACTCAACCATAAATCAATATTTGAAATTTTAGGGCAAATTACCTCAAATTCTATTCTTTTTGTCCAAAAGGACAACAACAATTTCAAACACTATATTACTCTTACTTATCTGTCTATCTGCTCACTTATTTGTCCACATGACCACTTGTTTGTCCCCATTTGTTCACTTATCTATCTACTTGTCTACTTACACTATAAGAAATTTCACTTTTGGCGACTAAAGTTTTAGTCGCCAAAAGTATGATTTTAGTTGCCAAATATTTGCCCGACTAAATATTTTGGTCGCCAGACTGGTCGCCGAAAGGTTGTCAGGGAAGGTATTGGCGACTAAAAAATATTTAGTTGCCAAAAGTCCTATAAATGGCGACTAATATTTTTAGTCGCCAAAAATAATATTTTAGTTTCCAAAAATCTTATTTTTCGCTACTAAACTTTTGTTGCCAAAACTTTTGAAGTATCTATGGCGACCAAAGTTTCAGTCGCCAAAGGGTTTTTTTCCATCTTATTTTTTAATTTTTTTAATTTTATTTTTTTTAGCTGCTAAATTCTTAGTCGCCTAAAGTCTACTTTTATTTTAGCTACTAAATATTTAGTAGCCAAAAATTTTTCTTCATTTTTTTTTTTATATTTTTAGCTGCTAAATATTTAGTAGCCAAAAGTTTTTTACTATTTTATTTTTATTTTTAGCTACTAACTATTTGGTCGCTAAAAATATTTACTTCATTTTTGGCTAGTAATTGTTTAGTTGCCAAAAACATGATTTTACTTTATTTTTTAATTAATTTGTCCACAACATGTATGTATTCCATGTAACCTGTATCATATATATAAATAAAAACAATATATCTATTATCAATCATTCTGCAATTTGTATCTATTTCACTTCCAACCATTCAAAAAGGAATAACTTTTAATGTCAAATTTCACACAAATTAAGTATATTCCAACTTAAAATAATAATATTATTCCATACAAAACAGGGAATCATACCAAAACATGTCCTTCGTACACAAATATATTCACTATCATGCTAGATATGTTCCCTAAAGAAGATATCTTTATTGCTGTAAAGTGAGTTGATGATGATGTCCATAAGCTGAGACACCTCAACCTGAAATTCAAACTTCTCTGCATTATTGTGGAGTGATCTCTTCGATAAGTTTCCCTAAACCACATAATTACAAAACATGTTAGAAGAAGAAAAACAAAAAAAAAAAAAAACAAAAAAAGAAGAAGAAGAAAAATGGAGAGATGGAGACAGAAAGAGGGGAAAGTAAAGAATTAGAAAACTCCAGTTCTCAAAGGAAAAATGTCTATACCTTCCATTGAGATAGGAAGCTATTAAAACAAATAACATGTATCCAAAATTAGAATGAAGAGCAAAATATAGACGAAATATATTAGATCCTTTTTCATAATATAATTCTTAATAAAATGGAATAAACTTTGTTTCTGTGGCCGGAAAGTCACGAGAACAGATTGGCTAAAAACCATGTCAATATGGAAAGAAAAAAATTTGTTCAATGATCATAATAGTTAGCAATCTTACCCAAGTGATAGCAGTCAAGCCAGTAAATTCATCTGGGGAAGCTGCCCTTTGTACGACTATTTCAGTCATGCGACCATAATCTACAGACTTCAAGAGTAGCATTGCTCAAAGTCAGAGAATTACTAATGAAAGATAAAATATTCTATCTTAAAAATTGTCTCTATAACATTTAGACATTGCTTTCCATTTCACTCCACCAGCTTTCCCAACCCAAAACTCATAGAACTCTAAAAAAACAATTTTGTATAGTGGAGGAGAGTAGACTTCCATTTGGTTGCCAAGAAACTATAGGAAAACAGTTATGATATCTAATTGTGTGACCAAATGCATCTCTTGAAACTAAACTTCAATAGTACAGAGCCAGACAAAACAGCCGAGTTTAGATTAAGTTTACAAACTTTCAAAACCAAAACATTAACAAAGCACAATTAGATTTACAGTATATGCATCTTCCTAAATTATGTTTTGAATGATTTTTGTTTACTATAAAGATCAAAACAGATAATGATAACACACTATTATTTCCCATTCAATCAAACTCAAGGTTGAAGTTAATTT